GGTCGTACGGTTAATAAGGAGTATTACTTTGAAGTTATGCGACGTTTGCGTGAAGCAATCCGAAAAAAACGCCCCGATTTATGGAAAAACAATTCATGGCTTTTGCACCACGATAACGCACCTGCTCACTCGTCGTTGCTTGTTCGTAATTTTTTGGCCAAAAACAATACCGTAGTCATGCCCCAACCTCCATATTTACCAGATATGGCTCCGTGTGACTTTTTCCTGTTCCCAAAGTTGAAGAGACCCATGAAAGGACGGCGTTTTTCCTTGATTGAAGAAATAAAGTCCGAATCGCTGAGAGTGCTCAAGGACATACCAAAAAGTGAATATCAAGAGTGCTTCGAAGATTGGAAAAAACGTTGGCATAAGTGTATTATATCTGGGGGGGGGGGACTACTTTGAAGGGGACCACATTGATATAGACGAATAAATAAATATTTTTTTGAAAAAACGACAATTCCGGGTACTTTTTGAACACACCTCGTAAATTTCTTAACCGCAAAGTAAAAATTATCATAAAACTGTATCGTACGTAAATGATGTATATTTTGATCCCAGTCGCTTTTTTAAAACTAGAATCATCGCAATGTTCAAAAAATATATTTAATTAAGGATTAAAAACATTTGAGAATGTTTTTCAAAACTTATTAAAAAGTCGACGTAAACCTAAAAAAACGTTTGCTATTTGAAATTTAAGTACAGTAGAATAATAAACATTGTAAATATTGTTATGTTCACTCACTGATAATGATTATTTTTACTTGCTGTGATGATGAAGACCTTACTTTTATTACTATACCTAGTAAATAATCAACAGGAAGTTAAATACAAATCCAGCGTATCGTTTTTGAGAGAATACGTATTATTATAAATCGGCAATTCACTGTAAAAAATAATAACGGAAAGGTTATCCAAATGGCCTCCAACTTTTAAATATTATGCAATTAGTTTGTTGTATGTATTACATGTATATACGTAATTTTTACACTCCACGTACAGGATTTCATACTAATTACACTATATATTTTTCGCACTATTGCTGTCCTTGAAATCCTTTTCAAATGTGCATATTCATGTGTTATTATTATTTTTTTAAATATTTTAAGTGTATGTTAACGAACATGCATTGATTATTATCAGCCAAGCATTTGCATAATACAAAATATTTGCAATATACTGCTTTATTACTGAAAATTTTCACATTTGCATTCGAAACCGTTTATAGCGATATCGCTTACAATGACGTAGTGGATATAATGTCGAAATATAGAAGTCCCAATTCGAACGTCAATACTAAAAAGAAGGCTTAATACGGACATCGCTTGTATTACATTGTCAATTTATCGGAATTTTTATGGCAATGAACCCCCTCCTAATCATCACACAAGTTATAGAAATATTTAGCTATTTTTAAAACCTATTTTCTACAACAGGTACAAAGTAGTTAACTTATATGTATCACTATTGTGTCTTATATTTTTTTAAGAACAACTTAAGTTCTTGATTCGCGATTTCGAACTTATTAGCTATCAGCAGTACGCAGTAGGTGTTCTGCATAATTTTTGTAAAAAGAAGATGATATGTATTAAACTACTAGTAGTATTTCACTAGATGGAGATGATATGCTGCCGGAAGTCTGATACTGTTTATTTTTGTTTTTTTTTTTTAATTTAATATGATATTGTAGAGTAACCCACCTTGAAAATGCCTTTTACTCCTTCATTCTGCAATTATAAGTATTGTAACACATTCAAAACGAATTGTGTGCTGGAACACACTTCGTTTTCACAGGTTTACTGCAAATTATGATTCGGTTTTTACACAGACTGCAAATAAAGACAATGACGGCCGGCCACGTGGAGGGTAGAGGTAAGAAAACAACAGCTGAGCACAGCACACGCCGCCGAGACTCTAGCGGACTCCCGCTCTCCGCGTAGATGCGCAATCGTTCACTGCGCATTGGACCGTTGAATTTTCTGATAATGCTTTTTAAACCCTTCTGCTTCGGGTTAAGTTATTGCTCCTCCTACCTCTAGTCATATTGGTTTACGTATAGTGATATCGAAGGTAGAGTTTTACGTCAATGTTGACATTTTTGTTTCTGTTTCCAGGTAAATGTGTTGAAGTCAACAGGAGTCATCGACTTCAATCGTCTTTCGTAACGACTACTCTTCTTCCAATTTGTTTCATTTTCCTATCGGTAACAGCCCAAATACAAAAGGTCCTTGAAAGATGATCTCCGCACGTTGCGTTGTAGATTAATCTAAAATAAATAAGGACACTTAATAAAAAGGCTGCAATCTGTCACTATATATGTGTAGTGGCCCCCTTTGGTTGTGAATTTATGTGTGTTTTAAACGGTTTGACGATTGTTTACTAAAATACTAACTTACTAATGCATTTATGTACTAACCTTTTCAGTATTCTTGAAGATGCACTAATGATTTCAGGCTACGTATTCGTTGTTATTGTTGTGTGTTGAAGGTCATTTATTATAGACTGTTATCGTCGATAAAGAAATTCGGTCAGTGTCTTTTTTACGAAAGACTAAGGGGCTTAAAAAAGATGTTTTTCATTTTTATTTATCTTCATTCCTGTTCGTTCTACACCAATTCCATTAAGTTTTTAGTTTCACTATAACTGTACTTACGTGTTGTGCTAACCTTACCTAACCAAATATTGACGATTTTTACGAAAATCCAAAATAAGTTTATTGAAAAATTTGAGTCAAAAAGTTTAGAAAACATTGGTTTGTGTTCTGGATTTGTTTTTATGGTCTATTTTGGCATTCTTTATATTTCAATTTGAGTTGCATTAATTTCAACTGCTATTAAATTAATTTTTAATTATACATCACAAAACTTACTGATATCTTCTAAAGACTTTTACAATGTATTTTCGATTCATGCCGATGAAACTAAACAATATTGATTGATTGATTGTTTTATTAAAAAATTAAAATTTTCGTTTGAAGTAATTTCAAGGTATAACGGTCTAAAATTTCAAGCGAATATTTTTCTCGCTGTGTGGTTTTCGTTTCGTAAAATTCATTCTGATAAGTGGCATTATTAGTGACCCCATAAATTAGTCGTTATTATTAGATCACGACCTTTTGCAGACGACCAGAAATTGCAATTCATTGAACAAAAACTTATTAGGTCAGTAACTTTTGAAATGGATGAAACAAAAAGTATAAAGCAAATAAACATATTTCTCCGTAAGATGTCAAGAAACTTNCCTATCTGTATTAATACTATAATTTACGCCTACTGAAAGCTTATTTGTGTATCGGTTCCAAGTGACTTACCCAAATAGGTCATAAATGGGCAAGTACCTGCGCGACCGCTCGCCAGCTTCCTTCGTCGGACCTGTACATCCTTTTATCTCAGAGGTAAAATAAAGGCTAGGTACTCGAAGGAATTTGGTGCCCTGTTTTAATATCAGGCTTTAAAATTTTACCATTATTACAAAATTAGGTACCTACCTATATTGGAACATTTAGGTGCCTACACAACAGTTGTTTGTATTTTCGAAATTCATTTTGACACAAACAGATCATCAAAGATGTGATTTATTTAAAATACTTACATTTAATGTGCAAATACAAAATAAAAATTAGCTATTTTTATCTTACATTTACATACTTTTTTAAGAAAAGCATTTTGTATTTTATTTAAAATACTTTTGCAAACGTATATTCTATTTGTAAAATGCAAAATACATTTTTGCCGTTAAAAGTTTTGCTAGTATCACCGATCAACTTATATAAAATGATGAATGAAATTTGCTCACATTGGCCTTTGAAAGTGTTAGAAGTTTAAAAAAGGTACAAAGAGACATTCCATGAATATACCTTCTAATTCTTTAACTGAAGAGAGCCCAAAAAATTCTAAACTCCTTGGAAATGAATAATCTGACTTACTGTTCGATATTGTTTTCCGGGTTCAGTGCCATGGTTCATGGAATTTTGAACTTCCAAATGGATACCAGTACCTGCCAAAGCACTACTTATCGTACCTTTTGCAAGGATCTACGAAATTTTAAGAATTTTGACAAAACAGTCCGCAAAACAGTATCGAATTGATAAAACGACAAACTTCTTGTGAACGATTACTGTTCACGAAAAGGTTCTTGCTTTTATTAAAAATATAGAATTTTGGGACAGTTGTGTGAACCCAACGTCTTTGGCTGTTTCCGAGCTATAAAAAAATTTTCAGAAGGAGTAGATTTTGAAATAGAAGTAAGAAATATTGAAAAAGCATTTGAGTGACATTTCTAACCTATACCTTTCCAATAATTTAACATTTAGTGTACTACAAATACAGCTGAATGTTATTAATATCGTTCTTTAGACATAAATACTTAATTTAAAACTGTTACATATGCAACTAAAGAAAAAGGCATTAACATTATCGAAACATTTTGAAACAAAAAAAGCCCTAACCACAAATAAAAATTTAGTTAACAGCTAAACAGAATTATTAAACTCTAACTCGAACAGCCTCCACTTCCTTTTGTTTCTTTCCTTTGGGGTCAGTTTAATGACCTATATATTGTAAGAACACAACATTTTTGTAGTTCTTGGTGTTTTTTGATTTGATTTATATATGGTAATGACTGGATCTTCACCGGATTTGACTATACGTACCTCTTCGACATTGTCAATGAACCTACCCACGTTTTGTGCAGGCCCTACCGAAGTATTCTGTTTTTTAATTGTTAATTAATAACACAAGTTGAAAATCCAAATGAGCAGATATTAGGGGAAGCACCCCCGGCATCCCTTTGGCTAGAGCTCTGATTATGTGTTCGAATCCTTATTTAATTGATCTCTATCTATTAAATTTTACATTCAGAATTTACTTCCTTTTTGTTGTTTTCGAAATTATACAAAATGTTCTAGCATCTTACTGGAAACTTTTGATCTGTGGTTCAGTAGTTTCTCTGGGATTATTGACGCGCAGGAGAAGATGCTATGATTTATTCATTTGTTTCAGCATATTCATGCCACGGCAGGTGGGAAGAGAATGGCACAAACTACTTGATCGCCTCACCGACGACAAGTCGATCTTCGCACGGCGCCTTGAAGTACTGCTTCATTTATAAAGAATACGGCCCTGACACGGTTCTGTTTTCCACGTCTTCGGGCAACTGTGACCGCAACCTCAGGCCGGGAATTACCGGTGAACTTGTTCTGAATGCCTCCTGGTCAGGTAAGTCTCATTAATATTAAAGTATCTATCTACTTCAACGTGAATAGTTATTTACAACACCTTATAAGACGGATGATGAGATTTTATAGTCATCAATTAAAAACATAACGTACAACTGTTGGTGATACTGCATTTATGTCAATCCCAAAAGTAATAACAACAGCACATTGAATTCACTAACTGACAATATACAAAATACGAGTTGAATTCGTCATAATACGGGTGACATCTATATCCAAAAATATATACTGTTGACACACTTTAAATTTTAGTATGTTGTTGTAATGAAACCACATACTTAATTTCATGATATTTTGTCAAAAATATTTTCAAGAGACTACTACCTTAAGTGTTTAAAGTCAAATGTGACCAACGTAACTCATAACTAACTTTGTACGCTGCATAATATACGTTCCGGTTAGCTTCATGGCTCGTTGTAATAGTTGTAATATACAATACTTGCCATTCTTGCGATATATAGTAAAATTTCACAATACATTTATGATACTGTAGTCACTTATAGTAAAAACTACTTAAGTCAAAATCATCAACATTATGAAGAAAATAACCATTATACTCCGTCATTATCATAAAGTCGTCGGTCTTAAGACTTGTTGAACTCGCACCCCTCCACTCTTTCCTATCCTGAGCTAATCTTAGCATTTCCCTAAAAGTAGAACATCCCACATGCTTAACTATATGCTAATCTAGGTCTACCTCTACCCCTCCTAACTTCCGTTTCTGCCTCCAATATGTCTCTGACTAGACCTTCATGCCTGAGAAGGTGTCCTACCAACCTATCTCGCCTATTTCTTATTACCTTGCATATAGTCCTGTGTTCTACGTAAGCGTTATTAACTCCATCATTTGTTTAAAAGTTGGACGCGAAATTATCCAACAACAACAAACCAACTTTACCCTGAGAGAACCTTTAAAATGATCCTCAAGATATGTGCCAGAATCAACACAAATCATTAAGAGTTTTTTTATACTCTGCATACACATCATAGTATTAGTACCTACACAGACTACAATTAACTTTATCGTAGTAAAGCGAAATAAATATCGAATTTTTGTAATTTTCCCAATGTTTGGAATTGGATTATTTCGGGTTCATTTTGAAATGTCTCATTTAACCAGATTCCCCAGATTTTGCAGAGTCATTTTCATTTTAGTATTCTCGGTGTCAACAATGGACGTTTTGTGTCATGCTGACACCCATACATACTCATTCACTAATGATGAAGACTTTCAATAACGTCTTCAAAACGAAAATTAACAAAATATTTGATGCCATCTGACAGTTATCTTAAGCACTCGCAAGTAAATTCTCTTAGCCAAAACTGACCTTAGTTATATTAATATAAACTTACTCAACTTAAATTTTAGTTAAAAATTATTGGAGGAACGGCGGTTGTCCAGATAGTCAAGTGTCACAATTCCATGGTTACATATAGCGCTACGGAAAAATGAATTTTTCCAACTTTACACATAATTCTTGACATCGAGTTTTAATATATTCAAACACACCTACTACATCATCGTGGACCATCGATGAAGCCTAGTCCCAACCTTCACCCAAACACTGTTGCTTACGACGTTTTACCTTTTAATAAAAAAAAACACTTTTTATGGATCCATTGCTGGAGAACTATTTTCATCATTTTTCATTATTTTCATCAAGCTTCGTCGTTCATCTTCTCTACCTTTTCCGTCGTTTTTTTAACATATATTGGTCCAGTTTTTATTTTATGAAATCCATCTTCCTTATTTCTTACCTAACTCTCGGTCTAAATCTTGCCATTATTTCTAATTCCTATTTCTTGACTTTTTCTTTTTTCTGAGTTAATAAAGACTACTTTGCAGTGACGTAACTATGTTCCATGTGTTCTGTAGAACATCGGCCCCAAAGTCGGGCAGCTCCTAAGGTAAAAAAGATTAGTATTAGAAATTTGGTAAAACGCTCGAATTAGAAATTTATAGTTATTGTTTAAACTTCTGTGTAAGGTCAGATTAAAACTCTTTGTTATATTTTTTGCATTTAATTGGGCTCCATTTTCTCTCCGAATACAATTTTTTTTAACATAGTTACGCTACTGTTACAAATGAAATTAGATTAAATTAAGTTCTTTTCGGCCGTTTTTACAAATATGCAATTCATTTGAACAGTTATTTATGAAATTGGATGAAAAATTTGTATTTTTATAAGTAGTCGAATGATCAGTAGGTATTTGTCAAAATTTTAGCCTATAAAAGATATATATAACTTTTTTATTTTTGATTTTGTTACATATTTACGTTATAATTTAAATATTTCAAGAAATATTTTTTTTTATTGTAAACAATAATAATGATAATTGATTATAATAAGGATTATTATCACATGCATTTAACATCATGATGAATCAATTTTTGCAAATATCTACCTGCAGATAATCCTTCACAATTACCTCTTATCAACTCGAGTAGCGTTTTGTTCTACTCCAGATAATACCGTTAACCTTAACCTTCAATCAAATGAATTCATGGATTAAGTTGTTAATCCGCTTTTTTATTTGCTTTTTAATTCAGTGCTTAAAATAATTTATTATAGTACGGATTACATATATGGCAAATACAGCTTCATGCTTAATCCACTTCCTTGATACACACAATACATATATTTATTAGATTATGCTGCTTTGGTAGATACTAGTTATAAGCTACACAAATTAAAATACTGTACTTACTGACATATGTACGTACAGAATATAAGAAGGTATAATTATGTTATATGCCTTGAAAATTTTTAAAAATATTGTCTTATTGGACAGATTAGACAATGCTATGTATTTTCTTATCGGAGATTACTATCAAGAAAAATGTGTTAGCAGAATTTAAAATTTACTAGATTTAACTCGCGGCTGCGCCCGCGTTGATGTCCTAAATATTACATGTCAAAGATAATCGACGCCCTTATAAAATTTATTTTTCTATCCCTCTAGTTAAAAGGTATGCTATGTCCTTTTCTGTACCCATAACAATGTGTCTACAAAATTTCATGATGATCGATTGAGTAGTTAAGGCGTGAAATCCACCATAAAACAAATTTTTTCAGTCCCTCGGGAACAGCATTTTTTCTGGATAAAAGGTTACCGTCCTTTTCTATACCCATGACAATGTGTTTACTAAATTTCATGATGATCGATTGAGTAATTAAGGCGTGAAATTCACCATAAAACTAAAATTGAAATTCAGGATAATTTAATACATGGATATTTCAATTTTTGTGTATCTGAATATCTAAATTTCAAAGATTTTTTCCAAAGTATTTAAAATATAGATATTCAAATATGCATTTATAATAATAATACCTATTTAATTAATTCAAATATAATTCCGAGTCTTAGTTTATTATTATAGTATGCACGAGATATAATCCACATATGATCCCTTTTCCCTCAGCGATGTTAGATATACCAATTTCTTGGTAATGTACTGGTTTTTCAAGATTTGTACCATGTACCAAGCCACTACTGTCTTGGTATGCAAACATACAAAGTTCTGAATATTGACCGAATTAACTAAGTCTGCCATCTACCATGGAATCAAATAATTATTAATAATTTTTTTTCTTATTTCTCACTATTTTCAGATACTTTCAATTTGAAAGTGAAAATTTCAAATCCGTTGAAAGATTAGGGCATATG